TAATATTCGAGAAATAGTTGGTTTTATACGCTCTCGGGAAGGTTACAATTGGGCTATTGCCCTCGGCACGCCACGGGCAATTTCACAATTCTAACCTTCCCTTGAGCGTATAAAAACAACTATTTCTCTCAAAGCAGTCATTAATACTATACTATTTCCGTTTATAGATACGTGCACATGAGAGGTACCGCGCGGCTGACACAAAGAGCGACGGCAAGTTATTGTTTTTTTCCAAGATGCCGTCGAAGGACATCGCAAAAGTGCCGCCGCCCCAAGTGCTGTCACTGTAGATTGTAAACCATTTATATCGCCCTTCGTACGATAAAATCTCTTTATTCAATAAATCTCGTATAATGGGTAGTTCAGGGCCCGTTTCATGGTGTTTTACAACTTACTACTGTTCAGTAGATATGCCTATGTTCTAGAAAGTGTATCGGCGATGATGTTGTCCATTCCTTTAATATGAGTCACTCTTAGTCCATAAGGCTGGAGGAACAAGTTCCAACAAAACAGTCTCTGATTCTTGTTTTTGTATCGAAATGAAAAATAAGGCTACCAAGCTTGTGAATTACATTTTGTGAATGTATAAACTCACATTTTAATATAACTAAGTCTATGCTTTAATATATTTTCAGTCGGTGGAGGAGAAGGGAGGTAAAGGGTCTGGTGATACAACTGCAAAACTGGCTGGCCCATCCATGGTTTGTGTGCTTGAGATTTTCAATTCCATTTCTTACTTTGGGTCCAAGTTTATACCCAACATGACCTTTTACTATGTGAACAGGCACGGTATTTCATTGCCGTAAGTATGTTAAAAGAAATGCCTATCACCTTCAATCAATTGGCTTTGAAAGTTATACAATAAGAAGGCAACAAGCTTGTGTAATCTGCCTTGTCATATAAATCAGTTTTCCTGATTGAAAACAATGATCTCTTTTGGTACTTAGATACCAGGCGCAATGCTTTGATATATGATTATATTGGAGTTACTCATTTTTCTGAATATTAATTTTTCTGTTGTTTCATATATTCCAAAATACAATTTTCCCACACCTTTAATATCCAAAGGGGGGGGGGATAATTCAAACGACCCTCTGTGGGTGGTCATACTATCCTCTTTGGATCACATGCTTTATAAATGATCTTCAATCCCCCCTCAACTCTTTTTCAAATGATGAAGCCAGCCTTCCCAGAGTTGTCTTTTTACACATCTGCAGAAAACAGGGTTTGTATGCATAATTGTAGCCATCGATCATTGCTGCCAAGCTGCCCTCAATATTTTGTTCTTTCTTCCCACAATTTGTAGCCGTTAAATCATGTCACTGAGTATTAGTTAGGTACACACTTGGCTCCAACAGGGAAAGTGTTACCTTTTCTAAAACATGAATTGAAACTTAAAACAATGACGCAGACTGATTTTTTTAATGAAATGTATTTATAAAATGTATAATATTAAATAAATCTCATATCATATGGGTAGATTGGGGCCCATTTCATGAAACTGATAATAAACCAGTTTACGGTAATAGCAGTGCGCATGCACAGACAGACATGGGCGCCATTTTAACTTGTGGGTAAACAAACCACTGACCCCTAGAGGTCAGTGGTTTGCGCGTAAATTAAAATGGCGCCCATGCAAATATGATATGAGCGCACAGCGCAGGCAGTGACGCGACAATACATGGGCATCTGAAAACTTTGATGACACTGCCTGCGCTGTGCGCTCACATCATAATTTGCATGGGCGCTATCTTACTTTAGTCTAGGATCAGTGGTTTGTGTACCCACAAGTTAAAATGGCGCCCATAAGGCCAAAGTAGGGGCGGGCGGGCGGATTTTTTTATTTATTTTTATTTTTTTTAATTCATTTTTTGCGTGTATTTTATTTTTATTTTTTTTAATAATTTTTTTCTTTTTTTTATAATTTTTTTTCCCCAAAAAAAAATCATTGGGATTGTCAAGCATTTAAGCAAACAAAGTCTATAAAACACTTTAATATGGTAAAAGACTAGTTTAATGTACAATGCATATCAAGACCAACACAGAACGTAGTTTGGGCTTTGAAATACAGCACCTTTTAAATCTACATTGTACTACTTATAGCTACTTGCGCCCTCTATGTAGCAAACAATGCCTAATCGGTGACCATTAGTCCCCCATGATCTTCTTTATCTTATATTAACTGAGAGCTGAATTGATAAGATAATCACCTGTCCAGTGACCTTGCAGGGTGGTCTAATCCGTCCTATAAACTAGTACAGATGGGCTTTAAAATGAGTTTAAGAATGCTCAGAACCTGATTTGAAAGAACGGCATTTTGACATAGAAAAATAAAAATGGCAAGTTAAACTAGACTTTAATTCGTCACTTTGACGAATTAGGTGATACGTATGCTCATGTGTAACATAATAAAGAACGTATTTTCACGATTTCATATTTCGTTTACTACTCCCATTATGGTCTATCCATGAGTCAAGTTTCAACTGTAGAGCAGAGGGATACAGACCAAGAGAATAAGAGGGACGCAAGGCAAGAGAGAGAGAGAGAGAGAGAGAGGGAGAGGGTGAAAGAGAAGAGAGATAGATAGATGCAGAGACAGACCAAAAAAGGAGAGGGGCAGAACATGAGAGGAGAAGTAAAAGAGCAAGAGAGAGGAGAGAGAGAGATGCAATTGAGAACAATGCCTTCCAGATTGACCATGATTGAAAGTGGTATAGCGCCCCCTTTAGGTATCCGATTGAGGATTGTTATATATGATAATTGACATGTCACCTATGATTGAATTTTTTACTATGATAACGTCATTATAATGTTAAATAGTCTACATAAATCTCGTGGGAACTTGTCTCAGCTACAACATACTCAAAAATCAACAAAATCTAAGCAGAAATATTGGCGATATTGCTCAAAACACAGGAATGTAGAATCCAGATTTGAGAAAAAGTAATCTCCCATAGGGATTAAACGCAAAAAGTAATGGATTTAGTGAAAATAGGGTAATAATAAAGAAAATAGGGTTGTTTATTACATTATTTGCGATTCTACGTGTTTTAATACTCAAAGGAGATGGTACAGTGAAAGGTCAAAAAATAAAGTGAAGACAAATATTGTTGGAGACACCCGGACTCGAACCATGGATCTCGAGGATGGAAGTCAAGTGGGTTACCGATATACCAAAACATTTCCCATAGCGATTACACTTAAACGGGAAATGGAATTCTGAAATCCTACTTTGCAAGTGAAATATGAGCATAATCCCGGCATCTGATCGAAAAATGAAATGCACACGTGTGATAGATTATTGTCTCAGCTACAACATATTCGAAGTTCGGCACAAACTAAGCTAAGACAACGGAGATTTTGCTCGTGAAAGACAGGAGTGTAGAATCCAGTTTTGAGAAAAAGTCATGTCCCATACAGAATACACGCAAAATGTGAAAAATTGACATGCCTCCTTAAATCACAAAAATACGCCATGATGCCTTTGTCAAAAAGAAAAATTGTGAACACTATATTTGTAGAGAATTGTTTCAGCTAGAACATATCGAAATTTGAAAGAAAATTAATCAATATTTACAGAGATACAATCAATTTTCAAAAAATATGCTGACGTCATAACATGCAAATTAAATTTTTGAGTTTGGAGGACATTATGGTGACGTCATGAGTTAATTGAAGGTCAAATGAGACATGAAATCATATTGACGACTCATAATCTATCTAAATATGAAAAAATATTGGGAGTTGCTATCTATTCTGAAGGGTTACAAAGAATTTTGTATAGGCATGTTTTTGCTCATATATTGTGGATAAAGATAACGCAGGTCCGCGCGCACTGTCAACTTTGACGGACGCTCATTGCGTTATTAAAAGATGAACAAGTTATCAAAATGCTTGGAAAAATGTGCCAAATAAGATGATAGAGAAAATTCGGCGATTCTATGTTGCAAAATGCTAGTACGCGCAAAAAACGCGCGCGCATGCGCGTGAGCTCGATTTTTTGTCAAATGCTCCATATGGCCTGAAACGTATGCAAAAAAAAATTGGGATGATTTAGTGCGTTTTAAATTTTTGCGCGCGCGTAAACGCGCGGACGAACGCGCACGCGCGCATTTGCGCACGTTTATTGACCTGAAATTGACCGGACGGATATTGATCTTATTCATGATAAATATGAATGAAAAATTACTTTCCGTTATGAAGATATGATCATAAATTGATTTTAACAAAATGGCGCCTGGATGACGTCACGATAATTTTGAGTCTTTGAAAAGTCACGCAGTTTTAAGTTAGACTAAGATCTATCATCATTAAAAAAATCATGACAATGGCTTCATTCAGTCTTGAGATATCCTGCGAACAAATTTGAGGAAGAATAATAAAAATAAAAATAATAATAACTAGACTTTAATTCGTCACTTTGACGAATTAGGTGATACGTATGATAATAGTTTACATAACAAATAATGTATTACACGATATATTATTTTATAACATGCTTCTCCCATTATGATCTATCTATATGTCAAGTTTAAATTGTGTCCCCTTGATCATCATGGATCTAGGGAAGATAGATTGAAACAATATATGACCGTTGACCCTGTACAGTAACCAGTTACACCTTTGACTCTAATTTACATCATGAAGAACACATTTTGACGATTTTATCTTATTCAAAGAAATGAAAATGTAATTGATAAATGATTATCACCATTATGATAAAGATGATCATGATGATAATGATCATGATCATGAGCGCAATCCTGATTTCTAATTGAAAAATTGAGGAATAATTTAGATAGCATATAGTCTCAGCTACAACATACTCAAAAATCAACTAAATCCAAGCAGAAATAACGGCGATATTGCTCGCAAAAGACAGATATGTAGAATCCAGATTTGAAAAAAGTCATCTCCCATAGGGATTACACGCAAAAAGTAATGGATTAAGTGGAAAAAAGGGTAATAATAAGGTAAATACGGTTGTTTATTATATTATTTGCGAATCTAGGTGTTTTAATAATCAAAGGAGATGGTACAGTGAATCTGGGATGACATAACTCTCAAGTCCCAGAGGGTCAGGGTCATTCAAGTTGGCTGTAAGTTATTAAAAGCGTGACAATTTATAGCACAATTTAGGTAGTGGTGGTCAAATATGCAAATATGAATGAGTGGTCCAATCAGATGAACATGCAAATCTGGGTATGAGCAGACAAAAGGTCATTTTAAGGTAATTTTAAGGCTCTCACCGAGACAACTACGTGATGTTTGCTGATTAATACACAAGCAAAACATTCTATGTTCTACAGGTAGATGTATTCCTTCGAAAAGGGGTAATCAAAAGCTGTTCGGAAAGACTTCAACTGTGGACAATTACAATTTAGAAATTTACCCCGGAGGACTGGGGTACATGCTAAGAGATCCTCAAAAGTTCAATCTCAACCCTCTCTAAAAAGAATAATGTGGAGCCCGGCCTTGCGTCAATTGCCTTCTACAACACGAATTCTAAGATACAACAATCCTCAACACTCAATGCCATATATCATAAACTAACTGAAATCTTAACTTCAGTCCTTGAACAAGGACTATTCCTAACCCTAACTTTTAACCTAACCTAAAACCAAATCATAAGCATAACACTAAGCCTCTATCATTGGTGAAATATATCCCAGAGCAATTGCCGCCGGAGAAATTGAAGATGGAGCAAACAATGTTGGAGCGTCACTAGTTTTAAAACTTACCTGTGAGAGGGCCTTCACCGTAGATCTCCATTCGAAGACTGATGTGGCCTAACCAGCTGACAGGCATCAAGCGAACATAACGGCAAATCTGGGGCACAGGAAGAGTGTTGGTCACGATGGTGTTGCGGTCAACATTACCGGTGAAGATCTTCAAAGAAACAGGAAAATCAATCCATTTTTGAATAATTATGACTCAAATGATTCTCCAGTTAATTGCAATCAAACCAAAGAGAATCTGATTTAGCATGCTGAATTAAAAAATATGTTTGCATCTACAGTGCCTATACATTTGTTTCTATTTAAATTTATTTTCTAATGACAACAATTTCAAAATTAAGAGACCTAGTAATAAAATAGAACAAAATGAAATGGATTGAACATTTTTAACTTGAAGTGCATTTCTTGCTGTAATATATTAACACATATAAACAGTTCTTCAATCCTACCTAATAATTTTCTCCTCTTATACTCTGTGTATGCGGAATAGTTAATAGTAAACCAAAAATGCGTGTCTGTTCTTGAGGTAACGATTGCATTTATTGTTGAAAGAAATTATCCTAATATCAAAATATTCAAATAGTTTTCAATGAGAAATCAAATGCCTTCAAAATTCTTCAAGAATAGAGTCCAGATAAAATTAACTAATGAATAATTAGAGAACAAACTTACCCTGTCAGCTCCAGGATTTGTAGAAATTCCCTGCACGGTGTGAAAGATCGTGCCATCAGTACTACAAGCAAGCTTGTAGCTTGTAACCCACTGGCTTAAATCTTCTCGCCCTTGAGTCGCAACTGAAATGACACGGTAAAGGTCCAAAAGATCCACCTTGTAGAAAGAAAAGAATGGGACGAAGAATTCTTGATGTTTATCCTCATATTCATCTAATTTGTCTATCTCCATGAGAAAACTTTTAACCAATGATCATGCACCTATCAATGAATTTACCTTGCTTTCATTCAGTTCAGCTCATCAATAATGTAACTATGGCAATCTTATAGTAGCTTTACCTAAAGAGAGGAGAAATAAATCTACGAACCCATAAGTCACCTCAAAAATTGGCGGGAAGAAAACAAATTTGTACGGTGTCAGTGACTTTTTCATTACTGACATGGTGGCAGCGGTGGGATATGAATCCATGGTATAGAACTGACTGGTGACTCTTTCATTAATGACCTGGTGGTAGCGGTGGGATATGAATACATGGTATAGAAATGACTGGTGACTTTTTCATTACTGACATGGTGGCAGCGGTGGGATATGAATCCATGGTATAGAACTGACTGGTGACTCTTATTACAGAATTATGGCAGTGTATGGATACAAATTAAACTATGGCATCAAAATTGACTGTCGACCCTTTTCATTACTGATACGGTGGCAGCAGTGGGACACGAACCGATGCCATAGAAATAAGGGTTGTCTAAATGTTTCGTGTCTGAATTGGCCTAAAAAAAACCTTTCGTACCTGGATCCACTGGTTGGCATTGTTTGTTAGTGCAGACCAGGCTCCACGCAGGTTACCGACTCGGGCCAGGTTAAGACGACCTCTCTTTGCACCATGGTCAGCATTATACTCACTGGAAGCTGTCAGACTTGAATCTTGGATGACATAACTCTCAAGTCCCAGAGGGCCAGGGTCATTCAAGTTGGCTGTAAGTTATTAAAAGCGTGACAAAATGAAGAAAAACAATTGTTGGAGACACCCGGACTCGAACCAGGGATCTCGAGCTTGGAAGTCAAGTGCATTACCGATATACCAAAACATTTCCCATGGCGATTACACGTAAACGGGAAATGGAATTCTCAAATCCTACTTTGCAAGTGAAATATGAGCATGATCCCGGCATCTGATTGAAAAATAAAAGACACATTAGTGATAGCTGATTGTCTCAGCTACAACATACCCGTTAAACAAAGGAGATATTGCTCACGAAAGACAGGAATGTAGAATCCAGTTTTGAGAAAAAGTCATGTCCCATAGAGAATACACGCAAAATGTGAAAAATTTACATGCCTCCTTTAATCGCAAAAATACGCCATGATGCCTTTGTCTAAATGAACAATTTTAATAATAATAATTTTCTACAAACTGCGTTTGTAGAAAATTGTCTCAGCTAAAACATATTAAAATGTTGAAGAAAAACAATAAATATCTCTAGAGATACAATCAATTTTCCAAAAATATGCTGACGTCATAATATGCAAATTTAAATTTTGAGTTTGGAGGCCATTATGATGACGTCATAAGTTATTTAAGGGTCAAATGAGACATTAAATCATATCTCCAACTCATAATCGATACAAATATGAAAGAATATAGGGAGTTTCTATCTATTCTGAAGAGTTACAATGAATTTTGTATTGGCATGTTTTTGCCCATGTATTGTGGATAAAGATAACGCAGGCCCGCACGCGCTGTCAACTTTGACGGACGCTCATTGTGTTATTAAAAGGTGAACAAGTTATCAAAATGCTTTGAAAAATGTGCCAAATACGCTGAAATTCTACGTTGCAAAATGCGCGTATGCTCCAAATGGCCTGAAAAGTATGCAAACAATATTTGGGATGATTTGGAGCATTTTAAATTATTGCGCGCACGTAAACGCGCGGACGAACGCGTGTATGCTCGTATTTGCGCACCTTTTTTGACCCAAAATGAGAAATAACTTTCCGTTATGACGATATGATCATAAATTGATTTTCACAAAATGGCGCCTGGATGACGTCACGATGACGTTGAGTCTATGAAAAGTCACGCAGTTCTAAGTTAGACTAAGATCTATCATCATGGCAAGTTTCATGATAATAGCTTAAGCCATTCTTGAGATACCCTGCGAACAAAATTGAGGAAGAATAATAATAATTTCTTCTATACAGACACAAAATAAATACTAGACTTTAATTCGTCACTTAGACGAATTAGGTGATACGTATGATAGTGGTTTACATAGCAAATAATGCATTACACGATATATTATTTTGTAAAATGCTTCTCCCATTTATATGCTTCTCCCATTATGATCTATTCATATGTCAAGATTAAATTGTGTCTCCTTGATCATCATGGATCTAGGGAAGATAGATTGAAACAATATATGACCTTTGACCCTGTGCAGTAACCAGTTACACATTTGACTCTAATTTACATCATGAAGAACACCTTTTGACGATTTTTATCTTATTCAAAGAAATGAAAATGTAATTGATAAATGATTATCATCATTATGATAATGATGATCATGATGATCATGATCATGATCATAAGTGCGATCATGACATCTTATTGAAAAAAAAGAGGGTTGATTTAGATAGCATATAGTCTCAGCTACAACATACTCAAAAATCAACAAAATCCAAGCCGAAATAACGGCGATATTGCTCGCAAAAGACAGGAATGTAGAATCCAGATTTGAAAAAAAAGTCATCTCCCATAGGGATTACACGCAAAAAGTAATGGATTAAGTGAAAATAGGGTAATAATAAAGTAAAAAGGGTTATTTATGACATTATTTGCGAATCTACGTGTTTAAATAATCAAAGGAGATGGTACAGTGAAGGTCAAAAGGAAAAAAAAAGTGAAAAAAAAAGTGTTGGAGACACCCGGAATCGAACCAGGGATCTCGAGGTTGGAAGTCAAGTGCGTTACCGATATACCAAAACATCTCCCATAGCGATTAATTACACGTAAACGGGAAATGGAATTCAGAAATCCTACTTTGCAAGTGAAATATGAGCATAATCCCGGCATCTGATCGAAATATAAAAGGCACACGTGTGATAGCTTATTGTCTCAGCTACAACATATTCGAAGCTCAGCGAAAACAAAGCTAAAATATGGGAGATTTCGCTCGCAAAAGACAGGAGTGTAGAATCCAGTTTTGAGAAAAAGTCATGTCCCATAGAGAATACACGCAAAATGTGAAAAATTGACATGCCTCCTTTAATCGCAAAAGTACGCCTTGATGCCTTAGTCAAAATGAAAAATTGTGGCAACTATACTTGTAGCAAATTGTCTCAGCTAGAACATATCAAAATTTAAAAGAAAATTGATCAATATTTACAGAGATACAATTAATTTTCCAAAAATATGCTGACGTCATAATATGCAAATTGAAATTTTGAGTTTGGAGGCCATTATGATGACATTATGAGTTAATTGAGGGTCAAATGAGACATGAAATCATATCTCCAACTCATAATCTATCTAAATATGAAAACATATTGGGAGTTCCCATCCATTCTGAACAGTTACAATGAATTTTGTATAGGCATGTTTTTGCCAATGTATGGTGGATAAAGATAACGCAGATCTGCGCGTGCTGTCAACTTTGACGGACGCTCATTGCGTTATTAAAAGGTGAACAAGTTATCAAAATGCTTGGAAAAATGTATCAAATATAATGACAGAAAAAATTCGGCGATTCTATATTGCAAAATGCCAGTACGCGCGAAAATGCGCGCGCATGCGCGTGTGCGTAATTTTTTTATCAAATGCTCCATATGGCCTGAAACGGATGTAAAACAAAATTGGGATGATTTGGAGCATCTTAATTTTTTTCGCGCGCGTAAACGCGCGGACATAAGCGTACGCGCATTTTTGCGCGCATTTATTGACTTGAAATTGACCGGACGGATATTGAGTTTAATCATGATAAATATGAATGAAAAATGGCTTTCCTTTATGAAGATATGATCATAAGTTGATTTTCACAAAATGGCGCCTGGATGACGTCACGATGACCTTGACTGTCTGAAAAGTCACACAGTTCTAAGTTAGACTAAGATCCATCATCATTGAAAGTTTCATGATAATGGCTTTATTCAGTCTTGAGATATCCTGCGAACAAATTCGAGGAAGAATAATAAAAATAAATAATAATAATAATAATAATAATAAAGAAAAATCTTGACGAAATCAAAAGGTGATACGTTGACTTCGTTACGTATCACCTAACTAGACTTTAATTCGTCACTTAGACGAATTAGGTGATACGTATGATAATGGTCTACATAACGAATAATGCATTACACGATATATTATTTTGTAAAATGCTTCTCCCATTCATATGCTTCTCCCATTATGATCTATTCATATGTCAAGATTAAATTGTGTATCCTTGATCATCATGGATCTAGGGAAGATAGATTGAAACAATTTATGACCTTTGACCCTGTGCAGTAACCAATTACACATTTGACTCTAATTTACATCATGAAGAACACCTTTTGACGACTTTTATCTTATTCAAAGAAATGAAAATGTAATTGATAAATGATTATCATTATGATAATGATGATCATGATGATCATGATCATGATCATGAGCGCGATCATGACATCTTATTGAAAAAAATGAGGGTTGATTTAGATAGCATATAGTCTCAGCTACAACTTACTCCAAAGTCAACAAAATCCAAGCAGAAATAACGGCGATATTGCTCGCAAAAGACAGGAATGTAGACTCCAGATTTTAGAAAAAGTCATCTCCCATAGGGATTACACGCAAAAAGTAATGGATTAAGTGAAAATAGGGTAATAATAACGTAAAAGGTTATTTATGACATTATTTGCGAATCTAGGTGTTTAAATAATCAAAGGAGATGGTACAGTGAAGGTCAAAAGGAAAAAAAAAAGTGAAAAAAAAAGTGTTGGAGACACCCGGACTCGAACCAGGGATCTCGAGGTTGGAAGTCAAGTGCGTTACCGATATACCAAAACATCTCCCATAGCGATTACACGTAAACGGGAAATGGAATTCAGAAATCCTACTTTGCAAGTGAAATATGAGCATGATCCCGGCATCTAATCGAAAAATAAAACACACACTTTTGATAGCTCATTGTCTCAGCTACAACATATCCAAAGCTCAGCGAAAACAAAGATAAAACAACGGAGATTTTGCTCGCGAAAGACAGGAGTGTAGAATCCAGTTTTGAGAAAAAGTCACGTCCCATAGAGAATACACGCAAAATGCGAAAAATTGACATGCCTCCTTTAATCGCAAAAATACACCATGATACTTTTGTCAAAAATAAGAATTGTGAATACTACATTTGTAGAAAATTGTCTCAGCTAGAATATCAAAATTAAAAAGAAAATTGATCCATATTTACAGAGATACAATCAATTTTTCAAAAATATGCTGACGTCATAATATGCAAATTAAAATTTTGAGTTTGGAGGCCATTATGATGACGTCATGAGTTAATTGAGGATAAAATGAGACATGAAATCATATATCCAACTCATAATCTATCCAAATATGAAAAAATATTAGGAGTTTCTATCTATTCTAAAGAGTTACAATGAATTTTATATAGGCATGTTTTTGCCCATGTATTGTGGATAAAGATAACGCAAATCCGCGCGCGCTGTCAACTTTGACGGACGCTCATTGCGTTAATAAAAGGTGAACAAATTATCAAAATGCTTGGAAAAATGTGCCAAATATGATGATAGAGAAAATTCGGCGATTCTATGTTGTAAAATGCTAGTACGCGCAAAAAACGCGCGCGCATGCGCGTGAGCGCGATTTTTTGTCAAATGCTTTATATGGCCTGAAACGTATGCAAAAAAAATTTGGGATGATTTAGAGCTTTTTAATTTTTTGCGCGCGCGTAAACGCGCGGACGAACGCGCACGCGCGCATT